CTTCATTTTTGTTTTCTTAAGTGGCATGGCTGTGATTTCATCTTTTGTTCCATGAAACTAGATATATATTTACAAATGGTTTTCTTCCATGTAATTAATAAACAAACAAAAAAGCACTGTCAATTTTTTTCTTTTTTTCTTTTCCCCTGCTGATTCTCTGATTTGGCTAAAATCACATCCTACAATAAATTGGGTAGTTTATGAAATTGTTTACAGATGATACAGTTAGAATCTACTAGAAAGCTGTTAAAATAGGTATTTTTAGGGAACTAGCTCATGTTGATTTTATGTGAAAAAACCAGACAGGAAAAGAAAATGAAATGCATAAAAAGGAAGAAATCAGACCATCTGGGTATTTACAGCTGTAAAATGCTGCCCATAAATTAGAGATCATGATATCCCCTTTCCCTCTCTCTCTTCCTCATTACTAAGGAATGGGTGGAAAGGTTTGCATTTTTAAAGAATCCAGAGACCTAGGATACTATTATAGGAAACTGTAGGTGAAATGACAGCTTTTCTTTTGTTGTTGAATGAAAGAGGAACATACATCTTATTTCTTCTCACAACTGTGGAATGTCTTCTGAACTCAGCTAGAGAACTATTTGATTTAAATTAGATTTTAGATAAATCCACTTAAACTGTTCAGAATCATAAATGATTATTACAATAAGAAAAGAAAATATAGGGAAAAGTGACAGTAGATGAGGCAAATAAAATTGAGAAGTAGTCACCACGACCACACAGAGCTTTAAGGGAATTCAAGGCTGAAATAGCTGATTCTTACTTAAAACTGTTCCCTGAGATTAGAGTGCCATTTTTTAACAGAAGCATTCCAAGACAGATTCAGAAAACAAGAAGCCTGCCAGCCTGATACCTATACAAAACAAATAGGTGGAAACTATAATACAGAACAGTGGACATCTGGATAAATATGACTTATCTGGGAAGAGTTAAAAAGGTTTTCATAAAAGGAAGTCCTGCCTCACAAACATAAGGCAGTCCTTTGAGGGGATCAAAAACCACGTGGATAAGGGTGATCTGATTGATCTTGGATTTACAAAAGGCTTTCAACAAATTCCTTCACCAAAGGCTTTTAAGAAAACTAAGCAGCCATACCATAACATGGCTTAGAAGTATAAGGTGATACACATTGGGGAAAGCCCCATTAATTCACATATAAAACAATAAGCTTTGAACTGACTATCACCAGACAAGTTTTTAAGATTTTACAAGATAGATCCATGAAAACATCAACTTGGCAGCATCTGAAAAAGCAAATCAGGTGTTAGCAATGTTGGGGTTAGCAACTAGAGAAAAAAATAGATGGTATCATCATGTTATTGTATAAATCCCAACTTTGTCTGCAGTCTGAAGACTGTGTGGCATTCCAGGACCCCATCTCAAAAAGGATATAGAACTAGAGAGGAGGTAGAGAAAGGCAATGAGGATAATGAAAGGTATGAGACAGCTTCTGTATAAATAATGACTCATTATTCTATTCTTCTTCCCTGGAAAAAAGACGACTGAGATGGCTATGTAGGAAGTCTACAAAGTAAGTGCCTGGAAAGTGTGGCTGGGGATTGCTTGGTCACAGTTTCCTCTGATCCAAGAAGCAGAGGATATCAAATGAATCTGTAGGATCCAGATTCAAAGAATAAAAAAAAGGTGATCCTTTAAGTCACAATGTCATTAGGGATGACTCCCTACGATATGCTACAGATACTAAAAGTTACGTGGTGTCAAGAGGAAACCACATGGAAAAGTTCATGCAAGAGAAATTCATAGCTGTTAGTAAGTACAGAGGAACCGCATCCAGCTGAGCAAGTTTTTGAGTGGAAGTCACTGGAGGCTGCCTGAGGAAAGTAGTGTGCATTTCCCATGTTCTTTTTCCCAAGCAACCATTCTCTACTCGCTACCACAGACATTTTAGGGTAGATGGCCTCATTTTGGCCTAAGTACAGCTACTCTTAGTTTACACAGCTCATCAAGGCTACTGTGCTAGATTTTTTTGACTGGCAGCTCCTGAAAGCAGATGAGCAGGTGGAGGTTTGACCTGGAGATTTTTTCCTACAGATCTCATCATAGAAGATCAGATTCAAGCCAAAGCTTTACCTGTATTTGGGCCCAGATAGTGAGTTCTGGCATTTGTCATTTGCTGAGTTTATAAAGTTATTTTTTGTGACATAAAATTTTTATCAGTTGTTGCCTAGAATTGGATCTTTAGGTTTTAGTGAAATGATGGATATGGTGGCTGTGGTTAAGTGGCTGTGGTTGCCATTAGCTTTACATTTTTCGGTGGATTTCAAAAATTATCTCAGAATTTATGCAATTTATTTAATTTGCTACAGAGACCACAGAGACCAAATTGTCATAAACCCCATGAATGACTCCACTTTTATCATGATGTCCTGTTTCTGGCCAGCATTTAGAAATCCCAAAGGATGCAGAGAATGTACAACGAGATAAGACTAACATTAAAAAGCAAGATATGCTGCAGCATAAGCATTTAAGAAATTTATATAAGGCAAATGGGAGTTGTTAATGCCTATGGAGTATTATTTGTTAGATTAGGAAATAGGAAGCTTTGGGTCTCCTCATTATGGCAATAGTTTAGTTACAGACTTCAAATGTTGGGTTTTTTTAAGACAATTCTGTTATATGGTCAAAGGAGCTAGAAGCATCTATATCTAGTACAAATTCCCATCAAATGTATGACCATCCAAATGCAGGGCTGTTTCTCCTTAATTTGTTTTCTACATTAAGTATATGAAGAAGTTCAGAAACAGAAATCAGATTTGATTATTCCTTTTTACCAAAATTATAAAAGAGATCCTAATACAAGATCAAAACACCCTAACAGTAATTAAATATATAAATTGTATCATAAATTTATAGCATTTGAAGGGCTGATAATTATAGGATTCATTTTCCTAAAAAAAAAAAAAAATTTTTTTTTGTTTACCAGAATGTCATAAGGCATTTTTTGCAGCTATATACTTAAGAATTCTATTGTCATAAAAGTATCTATAAAAATGTGCATCATTAGGCAAAAGGTTTTTGTCTAAAGCAAGATTCTGCCTAGGGAAAG